TAGTGCTCCAACTCCTCCCACAGTGCTCCTCCTCCTCCTCCTCCCACAATGCCCAGGGGAGGCCTAAGGAGAGGCAGGGCCCCGCCCATGCACCCAGCACCTGGGGCCACAGCACTTACTTGAGGGTGAGCTTGCTGTGGCAGGCGGAGCAGGAGAAGCAGCTGGCACACCAGGCCTTGTTGAGGGCTGACAGCACTGTGAGGGCAGAGGGCGAGGCTCAGCAGCCTCGCCCAGGCCACCCAGGCCCAGCTCAGAGGGGGGCAGCTGGGCCCACAGCTGCAGGGCCCACAGCCCAGAAGGACAGCAGGGAAGAGGGCGGGGGGGGGGGGGCACGTGGGCAGAAGCCTTACCGTCACCCTCGATCACATGGCTGCAGCTGTAGCAGACGTCCCCAAAGAGCTGCGGACCAGGCAGATGTCACACACACAGGCAGTGGTGTCCAGCCCAGGGCCAGGGGATGCGATGGCTCTTCCCCCCAAAGCTCTCAGCCTCCACCTGGGGCTCTGGGCCCCCCTGCCAGGATACAGCCTCGCGAGGGCACCCCTGGCCCATCAGAATTGCCCCTGGGAAGGACCCCAATGCCCCTTCTCTCCTCTGCTGTCCTGAAGGTGTGGCCAGGCTTCTCACCAGAGCAGCCGGCAGCTTGCCGGGCATAGTGGGAGCGGGAGGGGATGGCACAAGGCACAGGCCTGGCTGCAGGGGCCGCTTCTCCAGTGAGGACGGGCAGAGAGGGCCGCGGGTCTGAGCTGCCCGCCTGCAGCCTTCCAGCAGAGTCCCTGCCCTCCCAGCCCAGCCCCAGCCCCAGGGCAGGCCTGCCCTCCAAGTCTGCACCTGGCGGGCGCACCTCACCTGGCTGTAGTGGGTCTCGCAATAGGCCAGGCCCTTCCTCTCGTAGTGCCGGTGCCCACGGAACGGCTTCTCGCACTTGGCACAGACAAAGTGCTGGGGAGAGGGGGGCGGGCAGCTCAGGCCGGAGCAGTGACCTGAGACAGGACCAGGGGGCGGAGCGCCTTGCTGGGGTCCCAGGTTCAGGGCAAGGGGGCTGCTACCTCCAGGGACCGCCCCTGGGTCAGAGACCCCACGCCTCCCCTAATGCCCAGTGAGCGATCCGCACAGTCCGTCCCCCCTGGGCCTGCTCCATCCAGCAACCTCGTCCCCAGGTGGGGGGCTGGGCCTGCGTGTGCTGTTGTAGGGCTGCTGTTATTTGCATGGAGCCCCTGGGGAGGCTCCTTCCCTTGGGCGAGGATCCAGCCCCCCCGGCTGGGTCAGACCTCCCTCAGGCGCCTGGCAGAGCTTCAGGCAGAGCGGGCCGGGGCGGGCCCAGGCAGTGCCATCCACATAGAGCCACAGCACAGGGCGTCCTCCGGGTGCCGAGGGGCACCTGGGGCCCCAGCAGGCACACTCAGCGTCTGGGCCCACGGGGCTGCAGACAGCCCGTGACGTTAGCCACAATCCCTCATCCCAGGACCCCGGAGTCTAAAAAAAAGCTCCCGGGCCTCAGCGGTCAGCTCCTTCCTAAAGGCAGCCAGAGCCGTGAAGCCCCCGCCCTCAGCAGGGTCCACCTGCAGGAACCCCTGAGGCCCACCTGTATGAGCCCTGAGGCCCACCTGCAGGAGCCCCTGAGGCCCACCTGCAGGAGCCCCTGAGGCCCACCTGCAGGAGCCCCTGAGGCCCACCTGCAGGAGCCCCTGAGGCCCACCTGCAGGAGCCCCTGAGGCCCACCTGCAGGAGCCCCTGAGGCCCACCTGCAGGAGCCCCTGAGGCCCACCTGCAGGAGCCCCTGAGGCCCACCTGCAGGAGCCCCTGAGGCCCACCTGCAGGAGCCCCTGAGGCCCACCTGCAGGAGCCCCTGAGGCCCACCTGCAGGAGCCCCTGAGGCCCACCTGCAGGAGCCCCTGAGGCCCACCTGCAGGAGCCCCTGAGGCCCACCTGCAGGAGCCCCTGAGGCCCACCTGCAGGAGCCCCTGAGGCCCACCTGCAGGAGCCCCTGAGGCCCACCTGCAGGAGCCCCTGAGGCCCACCTGCAGGAGCCCCTGAGGCCCACCTGCAGGAGCCCCTGAGGCCCACCTGCAGGAGCCCCTGAGGCCCACCTGCAGGAGCCCCTGAGGCCCACCTGCAGGAGCCCCTGAGGCCCACCTGCAGGAGCCCCTGAGGCCCACCTGCAGGAGCCCCTGAGGCCCACCTGCAGGAGCCCCTGAGGCCCACCTGCAGGAGCCCCTGAGGCCCACCTGCAGGAGCCCCTGAGGCCCACCTGCAGGAGCCCCTGAGGCCCACCTGCAGGAGCCCCTGAGGCCCACCTGCAGGAGCCCCTGAGGCCCACCTGCAGGAGCCCCTGAGGCCCACCTGCAGGAGCCCCTGAGGCCCACCTGCAGGAGCCCCTGAGGCCCACCTGCAGGAGCCCCTGAGGCCCACCTGCAGGAGCCCCTGAGGCCCACCTGCAGGAGCCCCTGAGGCCCACCTGCAGGAGCCCCTGAGGCCCACCTGCAGGAGCCCCTGAGGCCCACCTGTATGAGCCCCTGAGGCCCATCTGTATGAGCCCCTGAGGCCCCTGCCCTCCCCAGGGCCCACCTGCAGGAGCCCTGGCAGTGCCAGCCTGAGAGGCAGGACCTGGGCAGGCAGCTCCGGGACCTCGGGCTCAGGCACAGCACATGCAGAGGGCGGCTGACCTTGCTGCCAAGTCCCAGCAGCGCGTTCTCAGGCCCCTCCGCACCTCTCGCAGCCTCTCTTCCCTCTCCACCTCTCTCCACCAGCAGCACCCGCCTCACCCTGCCCCCTGCCTTGGAAAAACCTGCCTTGGAGTCTCTGCTGTCAGCCCCATTCGGGCCCAGGCCTCATGCCCTGGAGCGAGGGGCCTCTTGCCCCCAGGCATCCACTCCTCGGCCTGCCCCTGCCCACCGCGCCCAGCACCTGCAGTGGGTGCAGCTGAAGTGGTCCGGGTGGTAGGCGTCACTCCTGAACATGAGGGGCTGCTCCTCGATGACCAGGTGGCACCGCTGGCAGACATGCTTGCCCAGGCCCTTGGCCTTCTCCCGGCTGTGGCAAGGCCGGCACAGGTGTCTGTGGGCAATGACAGG